TGAACCATCATGAGCTGTCTCCCAGGGTGCACATTAACAGGAAACTAGCATCAGGAATGAAGCTGGGATGTGAACCCAGGCTTTCAAGCACAAGATGGAGCATCACAAGTGGTGTCCTCTTTTTTTTTTTTTAAGATTTATTTATTTTTATCGAAAAGGTAAATTTACAGAGAGGAAGAGAGACAGAGAGAAAGATCTTCCATCCAGCCAGAGCTGAACCAATCAGAAGCCAGAAACCAGGAGCTTATTCCAGGTCTCCCACATGGGTGCAGGGTCCCAAAGCTTTGAGCCGTTCTCCACTGCTTTCCCAAGCCGTAAGAGAGAGCTGGATGGCAAGTACAGCAGCCAGGACATGATTGAGTGCCCATATGGGATCTCAGCACTTGCAAGGGGAAAATTAGCCAATTGAGCCCTCAAATCAGGTCCGAGGTGTTATCTTGAATTTTATGCCAAACACCCCCACTCCAACCCTAACACCTAAAGGGAATTAAAAACTACCTCGTGATAGTAGGGTTCATTAGTGGAGATTCTAGGAACAAGCTCTACAGATATCAAATAAAACTTTGACCTCACTAAGGCAGCCACAGAAAGACAAGCAACACGTTTTCTCTCTCATTTGTAGACATTGCAAATTAAAAACTAGAATAATTATCCTGAACTTAGAATAGCAGTTACTAGAGGCTGTGAAGGGGAGAATGAATGAGTAGCAGAACAGCCAGAGGCGGGTTCCAGGTTCCATTCCAAATCGCAGCAGAGTGACTGCTGTTCTCAGGAATGAATCCCAGAAAGGACCTACTGTAGGCTCCCAACACAAAGATAAGGAATTGGAAAAACCAGTTCCCTGGTTTTATTGGTTTATGCCACGTGTTGAAATATTGCACTTTACCCAGACATATGTACCAGTATTACATATTAATCAAAATTTTTTAAAATACAAGAAAAAAATCCACTCACTCCACAGCTCTCCCATGAGCCAGAGATGTCAGGGAGTAGCCGAATCCCCCATGCCCACCAGCATCCTGCACCCTGATCTATTGAAAGTACATCCCAACATGCATTTTTTTCTGGTATCTTTCAGGACACCATTGAGATCACTGGAACCTTCAAACACCGCAAAGTCACCCTCATGGAGGAGGGCTTTAACCCTGCCGTCATCACAGATACCTTGTACTTCTTGGATGAAGCAGCAAAAATGTATGTGCCCATGACTCAGGATATTTATGATGCCATAAGTAACAAAACCCTGAAACTCTGAGTAGGTCCAAGACAAGAATGTCTAGTTCCACAAAAAACACTGAATGGACTATTGCAGCCATTTGATAGAATTCAACTGTAATTTGATTGACGATTGTGAGGTTCAATTTTTTTTTTTTAGGAAATTATACATACCAATAACTAAACACTTTTCTAATTACACCTGAACCTTTGAAGTGAAGAGATTTCAAGATAATTATTTTCCAAGGTGCATCTATTGTTTGTATTTGCAAACTGAGCTCACTGGGGGGAGGGCATTATTTTTTTAAATAAATAAAATAGGTGAACACTAACACGTAAGGTGGCACCGTGTCTTACATTCTTTTCTCTTATTTATAAACGAAAATCCTTTGTCATTTACTCAAAGCTTGACAAATGCAAGTTTTCACAAGTAAGAAAGTGACTCACCCCCCACGCATATGTATCCTGGGCATGGTATACACACACCTGTCCAGCAGGTGACAATGCTGTCTGTGGTCCCAGTGCCCTCTGTATTCCTGGAAGGAGCCCATGACCATTGCTTCAGAGTTCTCTACATAAATGATACTCACCAAGCAGGATTTAATGACCGCCAGGACTGCATACCCAGGTTGCTTCAGGGGTCACACAGGTGAGTCAGATAAGAGCAGCCAATCACAACACGTGGTAGGCCGGGAGGTAGCCACTCCTCAGCTTGCCTCTCCTGATAGCCATCATGTGGGAATGCGGGGCCCACTCTGCTGATCTTCTGATTGTTTAAGAAAAAAAAAAAAAAAAAGAAAAGAAATCCAGATCTTTCTGAAATCTCGAGTTTCAAAAAGAGAAGCCTTAGCATTTTCCAAATTTCCGTGTGTTAACAGAGAGAATTAGAGTAGAAAAATCTCAGTTACAGTGTGTTCAGCAAGTCCAACTGGGAACTTAATAATCAGTCGGTTCGCTGTGCTGTGAGCCTCCGTCTGGTTCCAGATCTTCCACTTACGGGTGAATACGTGCAGAGTCAGGTTTAAAGAATAAAGATTTATGTGTGACTCTCAGTCACATTGAAAACCAACTGATACCACTTTGACAATTGAAGAACACCTGATAATAGTTAGCAGACTTGATTACTGATTAAAGAGCATGACATACCCACACCCAGGCCCACATGAGAACCTGTATGCCAGTAGAGGCAAGCAGTGCCTTTGCTGAGCAGAAGTCACCTTTTTTTTCTATGAAGAATTTTCTTTTTTATTTATTTATCTGAAAGACAAAGGCAGACAGAGAGCAGGGACTGGACCAGGCTTGAAGCAAAGAGCCAAGAAGCTCCATCCTGGTTTTCACCAAGGGTGGTAGAAACCAAATAGCCCCCGATGGTGCGCATTCGCGGGCAACTGGAGTCATAATTGGAGCTGTTACTGGAACATCAGAAACTCCAATATGGGATATGGATATGCCAAGCTGCATCTTAACTACTATGCCAGATGCCTGCCCCACTCTTTCATTTGAAGCTTGGCTTATTTATTTGAAAGGAAGAGTGATAACAAGGGAGAAAGAGAGCTCTTTCATCCTCTGGTTCACTCCCAAATCCCTGGAGTAGCAGGGCTGGGCCAACCCAAAGCCAGGAGTCAGGAGCTTTGCATGTGGGTGGCAATGGTCCAAACACTTCAGCCATCCAGGAAGCCGGATCAAAAACAGGGACAGGACTCAATCCTTGGTACTCTGACTTGGGATGCAGGTATCCCAAACAATAGCTTAACTCAGTGTGTCATAATTTCCTCCCCGCGTGCTCATTCCTTTTTAAGATGGATGTTTCCTTGCCTGTAGTTGAAAAGCGTGGAAGGTAATGTGAGATTTCACATAAAGCAGTGATTCTCAAACTTGAACACTGAGAATCAGCCGAGGTCTTGGTATAACCAAGGGAACTAAGTGACACACCTCCAGGCTGGAATTGGAATTCGTGTTTCTAGTCAACTTGCAGGTGAGGTTGATGCCAGTGATTGGGGGCCTCATTTGGGGAGTTAGTGACATATAGGAAAAACATGAATCTGAGTTAGCTGCGTGTGTGCAGAGTGTATGCGTAGTGTAACATGGCTCCTCAGAGCCAGATGAGTTCCGATTAGCCAGAGCTTGGCTTTTAAAACTGGGGTGACTCAACGTGCAGGCCCTGGGAAAGGTTCAGCATCCAAAAACCCTCTGTCATCCTTGCCAAGAGCTTGGGCCTGTTTACTAGCTACACATACGCTGTGATTTGCTCCAGCAAATCTAAAGGGCATCCAGTCAATTCCCCCTATGTGATAACCGGAACCTGAGGCTATGTGACATGCCTAAAGTCACGCAGCTGGTTGGATCCGAGCTCCCACCTAGCTCTCACAGGGGCCAGCTTTGCAGGGCAGCAGCTGTGTGCATGCCGTCAGCGCCAGCCTTATCTGGGAACTCAGACATCCTGGACTATGAGTCAGCAGCGCTAAGGGTGGGCCCAGCCATCTACACCCTGCACAAGCCTTCCTGGTGATTCAGAACCAGGCTCAGTTTCAGATCCCCTGATGTAGATAGAGTAGAGCTTTGGCTTCTCTCACTTGGCTGTGCCTAAGTGGGGAGTCCAGGATGTCTGACCAGCACAGCCTCTGTGTATGCAGACCAAGCTATAGCGAGCGGGTTCCTAGAAAATGCTACACAATAAAATGACCTAGGGAGCTATCAAAACAAAAACAAAAAGCCTTCCGGAACCAAGTCCAAGCTTTCTGGCAGTGGGCAGTGGGCAAGAAGCATTTTTTTAAAACATCCACTCAGAGGATGGGTGCCCAAAGCCCAGGGATCACACAGAGGACAGCATGAAGCTTTGAGCTCTTGGCAAAGATTAACTCCTTGAGCAAGTCTTAGCCAGGTGGGTCCCTTTCAGCTCTATTCTCCAGCTAGACCCCCTTCAAATGGCTGCCTGAGAAAGCTCACAGCTGCCCAAAAGAGCTCATTGTTGGTTCCACCCAAAGACAGGAAGTAATAGAAGCCAACCCCCCTGTTAACAATGGCTGCTGGGGTTCACAAGGGGCAGGCCCTCTTCTTGTCTTTGATAACTTTGCATATTTCTGAGTCTACCAAGTGCTGGGCTGCTGCCTCCCCATCATCCCCTTCTTTTACAGCATGCAGTCACCTCTGCCCAAAGTGCAATTGAGTTTGGCTCACACTGCACTCTTTTCCATGTTGCATTCGTGAAATCCCTGACTAAAATCTGTCCTTCACACTTAAACCAAGTTCCTGCCTTGTACCTCCTTCAACACTCCTCAGATACCCAATTTCCAGACCATTTCCTAGAAAAAGTGCCATCTGAAACAGGAAGTCAATTATTTTTGGCCTCGGAACTAATTATGGGTAAGTTTCCTGTGAGCTCAGCTTTCTTTGCAGAAATGTATGTATTTTATTTATTTGAAGGGCAGAGTAACACAGGTAGTGGAGGAAAGGAGGTGGTGGGGATGGTGGAGGGGAAGGAGAGATTTTCCATCCTTTGGTTCATTTCCCAGGTGGGCACAACAGCCAGGACTGAGCCAAGCTGACGTCTGAACCCTGGCTCATTTTTAAACAGGTGGCCACAGTGTCTGGCTCATAACCAATACTTACAGTCAGAAACCGCCTGCCTTCATCACCCAGATTAAACCCACTTTCCCACAATTAAAATTAAATCTTCGGTGTCCTGAAGAACAGAAGCCATACGGAGCACTTGTTCAGGCTCCAGTATATGCCTTGGTTAATTAACCAGTGTTTCGGCATCAATGAGCCACATGGGACAAGTTTTGTTTCAGAGACAATTGCAATTTATTTCTAGGCTAATTTCACATCACAAGCTGAGCCACAGAAGCTGCCAGTCAAAATTCCACCCTCAGCCTTTTTTTTTTTCTGTCCAACAAGCTGCCACAACCTTCCAGATCATGCTGGATTCAACTCCCCACATCAATGCTATTGGAGTCAGGCACCCCTACGAGAGTCTGATACAGATTATAGACTCGTCCCCAAGGAAAATGCACAGAGACGGAAGCGCACACACTTGCACACAATGCTGAAGGTTTTGCCAGCCCCTGGAAGCGTGTTCTCAAGCTCTGGCGGAAGACCGGCCCGCTACACCAAGGCCTGCAGGGGGCAGCAAGGCAGCTGGAGGCCACACTGAGAGCTGCACTCAGGAAAGCTGGGGACGCTGTAGAACTTGATGAGTTTTTTGAAGGCGCTTTTCTTAAGCATCATCATCTCTTCCGGAAACCTAGAGAAGATCTTGACCCTGGAGGAACCCGCATTCTCCGCGGAGCCGTCTACACTGTCTGGGGACAGCGGCTTTTGAGCGCTCACGGGCACACTGTGGCAGCTGAGGGAACGCACCGTCTTCTTCTTACCCTGGCCTGACAAGTATCTGAAGAGGAAGGAGGACAGCCTGTGCTTGCTGATGCCCGGGATCTCCTCCGAGAAGTAGTCATCCAGCGGATCCAGCAAGGCTTCAAGATGGCAGCTGTCTTCCCTGCCTGAGGGACCGGCTCCTGCCCACGGAGGCTGTTTGATGATCTTCCTGGCCAGGGCTGGGTCCTCTCCCACGGCAAGGGCAGGCGGGAGGGCCAGGGCTCCGGGGCCCCTGGGGTGAGACATGAGGTTCCTGACCTGAGGGCTGGGCTGGGAAGTACAGTGCTGACTCAAGACTAGCGTTGCCGCGTCTCGGATGAGGTTCCAGTCCCTCAGGATATCTTCCCTGGTGGTGAACTGGGACGTCACAGTGAAGCGGATGATCAGCTTGTCCTGGACAGTGGCCCGGATGAGGAAGAGCTGGCCGGCTTTAGTGGTTTCCTTTAGCAGACTTTCTGTGAGGCAATTGGGACCCTGTTGGGAAGACAGAGAGATGTGAAATCTGTGTCACAGATCTATTAGCGTACCCAGGGGCCCAGGGTTTGGGTTTCCAATAGCCCCCACATCTACCACCCTGGACACGTGGATGACATCAACGTAGGAGGCCAGGGAAGACAGCAGTACCTTCAGACGGAAAACCACCAGGCCAAGGTATCTCTTGGCAGGAATTTCAAACAAAGGATCATTTCTGACCAGAGATTCAAAATATTTAGCCATTTCCGTACCCTGCAATTATAAATTGAGAACAGAGATGAATGATTAAGATTCCAGAGCAAGCTGCATCAGGGTTCCTACGGCCATGGGATTTTAAACCAGTCACATCTCGGTACCACAGAACCCTCAGGGGCCTCTGCCTGTCTTCTCCATTTGATATTACTCAGATTCCAAGCTAGAAAATTCCCAAAGGCTCCCTGTTCCCTAACAGGTCAGATCCCTATTCCACCTCAGCCCCAGGCCCAGTTTCCTGGATTCACAGCTTCTCGACAGGCCGAGGGGGCCAGCACGGCTCCAAACCCAGCCTACACTCTTCATCTTCCGCTGCCTCTGCCCGGAACCCAAGCCCCCTATGTCCAGTACACAGCAAGCACGTAGTTTTTGGGAATTTTGTTTTTATCCAGATCTATTAACTAAACAAGGACAGGACTTGCCTTTTCTTTCATTCTTCAAAAAAATTTCTCGGGCCTGTCACATAGCCTAGTGGCTAAAGTCCTCTCCTTGCACACACTGGGATCCTTTATGGGCACCAGTTCTAATCCTGGCAGTCCCACTTCCCATCCAGCTCCCTGCTTGTGGCCTGATAAAGCAGTAGAGGATAGGCCAAAGCCTTGGGACCCTGCACCCAAATGGAAGACCTGGAAGAGGCTCCTAGCTCCTAGCTTAGATCACCTTGGCTCCAGCCATTGAAGCCACTTGGGGGGGTGAAACAGTGGGCAGAAGATCTTCCTCTCTGTCTCTTCTCCTCTGTGTATATCTGACTTTCCAATAAAAATAAGTAATTTAAAAAAAAATTCTCCAAGTATCCAGAAGAATCGCAATAAAAAGTTTGCTGAGAGATTCTATCAACTGATTTCCCTACCTACTGCTATGGTATTTTAAGAGAAGCTAATGGGTATTTAGGTGATTCTTTCTTTTGATTATACTAAAACAAGTGGCAGGGCCATGGGGTTAATCTGCTACTTGCAGTGCTGGCATCCCACATCAGAGTGCTGGTTCCAGTCACAGCCGATCTCCTTCCCATCCAGCTCCCTGCTAATGTACCTGGGAAGGTGGTAGTAAGTGGCCCAAGACCTTGGGTCCCTGCTACTCATGTAGAAGACCTGGATGGAATTCCAGGCTCCTAGCTTCAGCCTGTTCCAGCCTGACCATTACAGTTATTAGCGGAGTAAGCCAGCAGATGGAAGCTCAGGCTCTCGCTCTCTCCATCTCACCCCTGTTACTCTACCTTTCAAATAAAACTATTTAAAATAGGACCTGGCACAAGAGCCTACAGGAAAAATCCTCTCCTTGCATGCCCAGGATCCCATATGGGTGCCGGTTGGTGTCCCAGCTGCCCTACTTCCCATGATCTTTCTCTATTGCTTTCTTTGTATATCTGCCTTTCTAATAAAAATAAATAAATAAAATAAATCTAAAAAAAAATATTCAGGGCCTAGCACCTAAAGTCCTTGTCTTGCCATATGGTCACTGGTTCTAATCCTAGCAGCCCCGCTTCCCATCCAGCTCTCTTCTTGTGTCCTGTGAAAGTAGTAGAGGACAACCCAAAGCCTTGAGTCCCTGCACCTGCTTGGGAGACCTAGAAGAAGCTCCTGGCTCCAGGCTTCAGATTGGCTTAGCTCCAACCATTGTGGTCACTTGTAAAATGGAAGTTCTTCCTCTCTGGCTCAAGTGGTTGTGTCCTTGCCATTTGCATGCAGGACCCAGATGAAATCCTCAGCCCTGAGCTTTGGGCTGGCCTATCACCAGCCACTGCGTTTGAAGAGTGAGTCAGTGGACGGGAGTGCGGTCTCTCTCTCCTTCTTAATACATGGATTTTTAAAAAACGAAAACAGAATCAAAGATACTGGGGCCTAGTGGCTAAAGTCCTTGCCATGCACGGGCCACCAGGATCCCATATGGGCACCAGTCCATGTCCCGAATACTCCACTTCCCATCCAGCCTGCTGCTTGTGGCCTGGGAAAGCCATCCAGGATGGCCCAAGGCCTTGGGACCCTGTACCCGTGTGGGAGACCTGGAAGAAGCTCTGGGCTCCTGATATCAGACTGGCTCAGCTCTGGCCACTGCAGCCACTTGAGTCATGAACCAGCAGATAGATCTTTCTTTCTGCCTCTCCTCTCTCTGTATATCTGACTTTCCAATAAAAATAAATAAATATTTTTTAAAAGAATCAAAGATATATCTGTTGTGCTAAAAAAAATTTCTTGGGGCCCAGCGCAGTGGCGCAGTGGTTAAGGTCCTCGCCTTGCACGCCCGGGATCCCATATGGGCGCCGGTTCTATCCCGGCAGCTCCACTTCCCTTCCAGCTCCCTGCCTGTGGCCCGGGAAGGCAGCCGAGGACGGCCCAGAGCCTTGGGACCCTGCACCCGTGTGGGAGACCCGGAAGAGGTCTTTAAAAAAAAAATTCTTAAATCCATGCACAGCTTTTTCCTCAGTCCCATTTCCACCCTGAAAAATATGAGAGCTGGGGCTCATCTCACCACTGTATCTCCTTTCCTAGCACAATTTTGTGGTTGATGAACTGAAATAAATTATATCATTTGTTTACAAATGACCATTAAAACATACCTGTTCACACAATGCAGAGAGGTCTACTCCAGGCTTGGTAGGCCTATGCTTTCAGGAATAATCATAAGAGAGACTAACACTTTCAGCCAGGTGGTTCAACCATGGTAATTCTACAACAGAGATAGGACCTTACCCTGGCCACACACACTCTCCTCTGCTCTACTTTCCCTTCTTCTGTCTGCAAGCCAGGCTCGCAAGGCCCTCACGCTTCAGGGCTCCATGGGAGCAGAAAGGACACAGATGGGCCTCAAGGACATCTTGTGCTCATCTTCCACAAGCTAACAGAGACAACCGCTCTGAATAACCAAGTCCCAGGAGTCGCCCTCCAAGCAGGCCCAGACACCTGAGCCAGATACTCCCCAGTCGCTGACCAGGTGTGCAAAGCACAGACCAGTCTTTCTCCATATGCGAAAATGAGGCTCAGTCCCACGCGTGCTCACTACATACGTGTCTGACATGTGCTTGGAGATTCTTCACCCCAAAGGATCGAATCACGAACCAGAGTTTAATAGAACGAAACCGCCGGCTCAGGGGGATCTGCCAGTGCTAAAAACAAAGGACCATGGTTAGTGACAAGGACAGCCCGTTCCCCAGGGTGCTCCCGTGCGTTCTCCCACGTCTGCCCTGGCCTCCGGGGATGGACGGTGTCGCCATGGCTCCTGATGCAGTTGCTAAGGAGCAAGCCAAGGCAAGTCACCCAAAGAGGTGCTCTGTCTCACAACGAAACCTCTGATGAGAGTGGCTGATAGCCCATGTCCCCCAGCCATTTGCTCCAGATCCTGCTAGAAATATCCCATCCTACCCCAAAAATTCCAGATCTGGAGATCTGTTTGTTTCCAAAGGAACCTAAGATGCCACAACAGTAGAAAACAATGTTCAGCTTCTATTCCTCCTAAAATGCATAGTGGTGAAGCACTTAGCCCTGGAGCCTGCAGAGCTGGATTCCTGCCTCAGCCTAGCTGGGACCTTGAGCAGTGCCACCTCACGTGGCTCATCCCCAAGATGGAGGAGACCATGCAGCAGCTCCCGGACAAGCAGTGCAAGGAAAACAGGTGCAAAAAGCTGGCATTAGGAAGAGCATCCCACTTTGATGATTAAATACGTGCACTACAAATACTTCTGTCTAGAGCCAGCACAGTTTCTATTTAATTTCAATGCCTGTCCTGTTTCCTAGCATGCTCCTATAATCTCACTCTAGCATTCACATTTCAAAAAAGCACATGAATCTCTGCCTCCATCAGAGATTAAAATTGACCCTTTGCTCCTGGCGACCAATTTCAACACAGTTCAAAGTTCATCTTCATCATACACCCAACACCATTGAGACATTACTCCTTTGTATATGTGCTGCTGAAACGAGCATGACATTACCCCTTTGTACACAGACATTTCTCTCTCTCTCTCTCTCTCTCTCTCTCTCACAAACACACACAAACACACACACACACACACACACACACACACACACACACACACACACACACAGGCAATGTTTCCCTGTAGATCTGACATTAGGGACATTATTTTCCACCAGCAGAGGGCACCAGAACCCAGATGAAAAAAAAAATCCCTGCAAGGGAGAAATACATTCTGCTCTGTGAGAATCCTAAGAGTTAGCTCTAATTATCATGTGGTTTCCAGGAGGTCGTAGCCAAATGGCTGCTGCCTTTCACATCAGGGAGAGGCAGAGATGGTCTTAATTTGGATTTATTTACCCTCTTCCTCACCTGAGATTCAAATCACAATTCCTCAAAGGGGCATAGTGAGTTATGCTACTGCTTTAGACACCAGAATCCCATATGAGAGCACCAGTTCAAGTCCCAGCTGCTCTGCTTCTCATCTAGTTCCGTGATACTGTAACTGGGAAGATGGCAGAAGACGCCCAAATATTTGGGCCCCTGACACCCATCTGGGAGATTGAAATGGAATTCCAGGCTCTTGGCTTCAACCTAGCCAACCATGGTAATTCTAGACATTTGGGGAATGAACCATAGGATGGGAGCTCTCTCTCTTTCTCTCTGTTACTCTGCCTTCTGTGTAAATATATAAATCTTTTCCTAAATATTTCATCATGCTCAAGGACATATGAGTTGAACAAAATGAGAATAATTGGATTATCTAAGTGGTGAGGGAACTATTAATTTTAGAACTAAAAAGGCAAGATACATCAGTTGTCCGTGGAATTAAGACTCTTCACAAAGAATGAAGGAGAGGTGTTGGACTTTGTTCAGTGCCCCAAGGTGGTAAGACATTTAATCCTTACAGCGAGCTTAAGAAGCCAGAACTGCTATTATCATCTTCATTTGATAGAAGAGGAAACCTAGGTAAAGCAAAGATGTCATTTGCCCAAAGCATACAAGTTAGTAAATGCAGGAGCCAGAAGTCAAACACAGACCATCTGGCTCTTGTGCCTACGTGCTTAATTATTTGGCTATAGCAAATCTCTTATAAGAGCTTTTAGGATGGTAATGCCTACTGTTTCTAGAGCCTGTGCCACACAGGTGTTATGCTAAGTCATCTGCAACCAAGCTATCTGGGTCTTATTCAATAACCTTAGGCACAACTTGAAACTAAGAGCACACAGTGGCAGCATTACAGTGCGAGGTCATGACGTGCTACCTTCTGGAGGAATACAACATACACAAGACCTGAAGGGGTCAGATGTAGCCAGCTCCCACCTCAGAGGCCACCAGGCCACCCCTGGCCTCTCACCATGAAATCGATGGCCTCACCCGAGTTGGCATGCCTGAGGTAGACAGGGTTCACACTGAAGGTCTGCTGCAGCTTATACTTGTCCTTGACCCTGTGAGTTTTCAAAGGAGAACAATTTGACTGAGGTCTCTCCTGAGCGAAGCAAAGCCACCCCCAGGTACTCAAAGCTTGGCTGCCATACTCACCAGAAAGCAGTACAGTCAAAGTGCACCATCATCCACTTGGAAGGGTTAAAGGCAAATGAGTCGGCAAACTCAATGCCCTTCAGGAAGCCCCGGAACTCAGGGCACAGGAAGGCAGTGCCCGCATAAGCAGCATCGATGTGGAGCCACAGCCCCTCGCTGGCACCTGAAAAGAGGCATGAAGGAGGGGAGCAGCCACCAGCTGGCTGAAAGGACCCGTCACCTGCTCAAATGGTAGATGGCAAAGAGAATGGCTGGGGAAGGACGATGAGACTGAGATGTAGAGGTGGGGAGAGGGGTGGCAGCATGAGGAAATGGGGCCAAGGGAGGTGCTATCTCCTACGGGGACATCTACAAGGCCCACCAGGCCATCTTCTCTCACTGGGCAGAGAGCTGACACCCCCTTGAGCTTAACCTAAAATGTTCAGCACAGAACTCAAGTTGCCAATGGCCCGGTGAACAATGGCAGTGCTTCCACACAAGGATTGTGAGATGGTTACTCTCGGCTCTTGTGGGATTCTTAGCTGGGGATTCAACAACCTCATTTAAGCTTTCTTCTGTTCTGTGCTCTCTCCCATGAGCCCAGCTACTGTCCTCTACCCCACTCTACTACTTTGCTTTGGCCGTAAGCTGCCTTCAGATGTTGACATACAAGCAAGAGGGTGAGAAAACCTGAGTCCTCCCAGCTTCACGGTTGCTTCCCAGGCCAGGTTGTGAGGTATGGTTAGCTCTAGTCCCTGGTACACCAAGGGAAAAGCAATGGTATGGGCGGTCCTGAAGGGACATTCATGACTTTGGCTGGCTCATCCCACATCTCTCAATTGAGCCCCGAGGGTCTGGCTCATTCCACTAAGCTGGTTTCAGGATCGTGCCAAGGAAAGTGCCTAAAAACCTGTTCCTGCCTTCACAGCCAGGAAGGGAGTTACTCACAGATGGGTCCCAGCTCTGAGAGGCAGTCAAATGCACAGACCCCAGTGGTCCCGAGTGTTGCACACACCTGGAAGGAAACAAAGCAAGCTGAATGGGAGAGGAGCTCACCTGCCCCGCTGGGCTGGCAAAGGATTTGACCACAGACATTATCTTCTCCTTCCCATTCCACAAGAACACAGCATATTTCACACTGCACTTCATCCTCATCTACATTGAGAAATATATTTTACATAGCAATTTAGTCCATACATACCCGTGCTTTTGAAATTAAAGCTTCAGCTGCCAGCAGCACAGTGGCATAGGAAGTTAATCCTCCACCTGTGATGCTGGCTTAAAATAATGGATGCCAGTTCATGTCCCAGCAGCTCCACTTTTTTATTTGTTGTATTTATTTATCTTTATTAGAAAGGCAGATATACAGAGAGAAGGAGCTAGCAAAATTTTGCATCTGCTGGTTCACTCCCCCAAGACACTGCAATGGCCAGAGCTGAACCAATCTGAAACCAGGAACCTGGGGCTTCTTCCAGATCTCCCACGTGGGTGCAGGGTCCCAAAGCTTTGGGCCATCCTCCTCTGCCCTCCCAGGGCACAAGCAGGGAAGGGAAGTGGAGTAACCAAGATACGAATCAGTGCCCATATAGGATCCCAGCGGACACAAGCTGAGGACTTAGCCACTAGGCTACTGTACTGGGCCCCCAGCAGCTCCACTTTCAATGCAGCACTGTACCTGTGGCCTGGGAAAGCAGCGGAGGATGGTCCAAAGATTTGGGCCCCTGCATCCATGTGGGAGACCCAGAAACTCCTGGTTACTGGCTTTGGACCATCGCAGCTCTGGCCATTGTAGTCATTTGGAGAGTGTACCAGCAGACAGAAAATTCTCTGTATGTGTCTCTCTCAGGTGATTTCAAATAAAAATAATAGCAACAATAAAAAATAATAAGTTAAATCTTCAAAAAATAACATGTTCTCCAGCTCCATATGTGAACTCTGATGTGTTCTATGCTATTTCTTTTTATTGCTGGTTAACCTTTGCATTTGAGAATCTCTGTTTCTGCCTCTGTAGGTCGCCACATGACTTCCCTACACCTGCCAGGATTCCTGGCTCACATGCAAGTTCTAGTACGCCAAGCTGGGGACCACATCCTGACTTACAAAGACAGGCACCAGGCCCTGCTGCTTATCTTCCTCGATGGCTTTCTGAAGAGTTTCCCCTCGGAGTGAGAAGTTGTCATCCACAGGCAGAAATTTCATTTTCACAAGGGAAATTAAGCCAGCCTTTTCCACGGACGAGTGGGCCTAGAAGAGCCACAGGACCTTGTTAGCAAAGTTTTCTCCTAGAAGGAGCACTCCCCAGAAATTACTAGAACATCAGACAAAGGGAATCAGTGTTTAGAGTTTGGCTTCCCCTATAGTTCCTGGAGCTGACCTCCAGGGCTTAAACCATCCTGAACCCCAAGGAACTCAGTTGCAGAAGAAGGATGAGTCCAGGATGAAAACTCCAGGAGTTAGACACTTGTCTGGAGGCATGCACTGTGTCGGAAACTCACATGGTTAGAGGTGTAGGCGACAAGCCGGGCGTTCAAGCAGGATTCGTCAGCATCAGGCTCCGACACTTGGAGTTCCAGGATCTTGTTCTTCCGTGCTGCCAACAGCGCAATCAAAGTGGATTCACTGACTGTGCTCTGGAAGGAGAGAAGGATGGTCAAGGGCAGCCTGTCTCTGAGTTCTCGCACCAGATTGCCCCAGGATCATGGGTAGATGTGTAAGAGCTACTCCTGACGAAGGAGCCCTCTTTTTTTCCCCACCTTACCCAGCTCTTCTACATTCTGAAAGCAAGGTGGTACCTACAAAGCCATAGAAACCAGAATGAGAATGTTCAGGCCTTTAAAAAAAAAAAAGGAACTTCCTATTTGCTAGGGATGGAAAGGGAGTTGGATTCCACAAGTGTGTCCCAGAGGGAGAGCCCTGGCTCTGCGAAGCTAGTGATTTGCCCTCTGTTTGTTATCACTGGTTGTTGAGACCTTGGTCTGATATTGCCCCTCCTGAAGACTTTTTTTGGAGGGGCAGGGAGGATGAGGGATGACGCATAAATAAATATTTCACATTATTAAAACATCCCAAAATAGACATAAAATCCAGGTTTTTGTTTCTGCAAACAACTGTTAGTTCTTACTCATCAGCTACTAAACTATTCCATTCCCAGAGACATACAGACCCCACAACTCTCCGATATCCTAGTTTTTAACTCTTGTCTCCTGTTGAACCAAAGCAGCTGAATTTGCAATGAGTCCAACATCATTTTCTTCAAAAAGTGATTTCTCTTTCTAGGCTTGAGCTACTGAACAAGTAATAGCTGGTTTCCCTAAGCCCTCCAGATGTGCTTTTTATGTGAGGAATTGCAGGTTTCAACGAGACCCAAGGCATGCAGAAGTTAGCTTCTTGCAGCAGAAGCCCAGAGGGACCCCCTTGATTATCCTCTGTACGTGACTACAGTGTAAATGCTTGCCAGTTCCTTTCTATTTCTCTACCAATTGTCAACCTGGAACCTCTTTTTCTTTCTGAGGAGGTTGAGAAAAATCTATTTATTTGAAAGGCAACGTAACAAAGTGAAGACAGAAATGGAAAGTGAGATCTTCCAGCTGTTGCTTCCCTCTCTAAATGTCTGCAACAGCTGGGGCTGGGGCAGGCCAAAGCCAGGAGCTAGGAGTGCCATCCAGATCTCTCACATGGGCGTCAGGGACCCAAGCGCTTGAACTGTGTCTGCTGCCTCCCAGGTGCATTAGCAAGAAACCAGATCAGAAGCAGAAGCAGGATTAGATCCCAAAAACTCAGATATGATTTAAGCAGTGGCTTCACCTCCGATATCACTACACTGACACCCCCCAAACTCGTTTCCATCAGTTTAATGGAGCATACCCTCTTCACAGGCATACTGGGATGGAAATATAAAGTATCCAAATTTGAGTTGGATAGGATAGCAAACTCTGGCCATGTCTGATTCTGGAGGCCTCCTCAGCAACCGCATGGTCATCTTCATGGGTCTCATCCTCCATTCACTCCATTTGGGGAGTCTGTTTCTTGAAAGCTTCAAATCACCAAAAGCTGACAGAATGCTGTCAGAAAGCCTGGCAGATACTGTCCTGGGAGTGACAAACCCTAATATTTTGCAGATGGAAATTATTCCATAGGAAGGAAACTAGCATAATAATAAGAAAAAGAAGCTCCTGACTCCTGGCTTCAGATCAGCTCAGCTCCAGCCATATGGCCAAGTGGGGAGTGAACCAGCAGATGGAAGATCTTTCTCTGTGTCTCTCCGCTCGTAAATTTGATCTACCTTTACAATAAAAATAAATAAAATCTAACAAAATAAAAAAAGAAAACAGGCCCAGTGAATTTGTCAGCCCTCATCTCAGAGCAGTAGAGGTATTTTAATTTAATAAAAATATTCTTTTAATCTTCCAGAGGCCCACTTTTTAGGAAAATGACCTCTAACATATTAGAGAATATGAAACTGGGAAAACTACACATCCCAATGGAATTCAAGAATTTGAAGGTGCTCAGCAGTCTCAGAAGTGACCTTCTCCAGAAGGCCCAGGGTTTACAGACACAACAGCACCTGGCAATTACACAGTCAGTGGCAGGCACCCGGAAGCTCCGCTCTGTGTCATGACTCTTGGGGGCAAGAAAAAAATCTCTGAAAAATCATCAATTGAAAGTTAAGACATCCAAAAGACAGGGCCAGTGGCTAAGACTCATTGCTGCGTTGTGACTTTCACTGCCAAGATCCTCCTAGACCTACAAATAGGGAAAAGTTGCGGTGCTCGTTTTCTTTTCCTTCCTTATGAAGTATAAGATGGGATGAAGGATAGCAGGTGTCAGATTCCCAACTACAAAACTTGCATCAGTAATCCTTGAAACATGATAATGTCTGGACTTCTTCATCTCTTTGAAAGAGAAGGAGAGAATGATGAGGAAGAAAATGAGGCAGCAGTGGGAGTGAGAAAGAAGCGACGCCTGTGGGCGGATGGAAGCGATGGCAGTGATGATGATATTTGCATTAGTGAGGATGGAAATGCTGACAGCAATGCGGATGGCATGTGGGGAACTCCGTGGAGACCAGAGCATCCAGATATGGGAGTGGTGTTTTTTTCATTGGTTAGCCCCTAGTCCAGGGAAAGCTCTGCCAAAGAAAGTACCTGTAAGACGCCCCCCCCTCTGCTTCCGGGGTGGTAGTGCAGGAAGTGATCTGGCAGTCCCAGCATTTGTGCCAGCCAGTCCATGACATTCATCTCCAGCTCCGTGCAGGCAGGACTGGAAGCCTGAAAGAGAGAAAAAGAGCTTTGTTGGCAGAGCTCCCAGGGAGCCAAGACACCTCTGGCAGGCCCAGAAAAAAGCATTGGTCTCCACGCCGGTCCTCATCAGGCTGTGACAGTGTCAATGGGAACTTCCCTAGAGAAGGGGTTCGACATAAGGCCCTGTGCCAAACTCCCACCCTACCCTCTCTCAAACCCAAAAGGAAAAAGAATATGCGGCCTCACATTCAAGCTCTTTTCAACAGGGTATCCTCTCCAAGTCTTCATGACTGGCTTGCATTTGATGCCCAGAGTCTATAACAGACGCAGCTGAGAAGCACTCTCAAGCCCAGGGGTAGTGTTAAGACAACGCAAAGTATAGTGCTGTTTCCTAAACATGATGTACATGCCCTCCCTGTATACCCTGTGAGAGTTCAGCCTTAAAACATAAAGACATTCGAGGAGGCTTTGGGCACAATGTGATGCTGAGTAGTGCTGAAGGGAAGTCTTCAGGCATATCTTTAACTTCTCCAAGGCAAGGACACAGGGGAAGCTGTGACCCAACAGTCACCAGTGTGCTTAACTAGGGTCACAAACTGCAGCCACAACCTGATCTCGGGCCACATCTCAACGGTGTCTATGAGTTGAACGATCTTGGGGAGATAAGTTACTTAAGCCTTCATTTTCTCCTACAGAATGGAGCCAATCCTCGTGGTTCCAAAAGGTTAAAAGATGAGATGACACCATTTATACAAACTTTAAGTCCAATGCATGTGGCCATTTTTAAAACATATCTTGGGACCCTGTTCAGCAAGCAGAACTAAATGAGACTCCCTCAAAGGTTTCCTCCTGTTATGCTCCCATTGCAATTGTTTTGGCTGTGCTACTCACCCATGTGAATCCCAAGCAGTTGATGGCATCCGCCAGCATGTCTCCCAACAGGGATGGCCAAGAGTTGAGGGCTGGGAAGTAGGCGTGCATGTGGGGGCTCTGCCAATGCACCACCTGTAGGCAAAGGGTGCAGATAGTTGGTTCCAGGAGCCATTTCCTGGGGCTTCCTCTCTAAGAGACCTTCCCTGGTAAGGAGAAGCCACTCAAGCTAGGCTAACACGCTTACAACAGAAAAGTTAGTGATACAACAACTCCACCAAAGTGAGACCTATTCATGAGCTTCTTCCCAACACAAGACCTGCTCTCACAGCTCCACAGGGCAGCCTTTGCACAAAGGCACACCAGAAGGGAGCGTGCCAAGTGGGCAAATTCATGGACTCTGGGAAGTCTCACACGCATCTTCAGTGTTTAGCCCCTGTGTCTAGTCAGAAAAGGAAGGAGTCACTCATGGCTCCAGACGAGCACATGGCCGTTTCATCCATGACAACATCTTTTGTTCTATTATTTTGAGCGTCTTTAAAATGTCCCCAGTTGGGCACTTCATGGCCAAGCACCTTTTGTTTCATGGGCACTGAGATCTAACTACAAAAGGTCTAATGAATGTGTCCCATGCTGTCCTTGGCATCCCAGTAGGGATGGATCCAGGATAGAAGAGGGCCAGCCCACCGGTTACAATCCTGGCAGCCCCACTTCCCATCCAGCTCCCTGTTTGTGGCCTGGGAAAGCAGTTGAGGATGGCCCAAAGCCTTGGGACCCTGCACCCATGTGGGAGACCTGGAGGAGGTTCCTGGCTCCTGGCTTCGGATTTGCTCAGCTCCAGCCATTGCGGCCACTTGGGGAATGAACCATCAGATGGAAGATCTTCCACTCTGTCTCTCCTCCTCTCTGTATATCTGACTTTCCAATAAAAATAAATAAATCTTAAAAAAAAAAAAAAAGAAGAAGAAGAAGAGGGCCAGCCCAGAAGGCCAACCTCCAGGCTAGCCCTTAGTCAAAACCACAAGCAGGATGCAGTTGGGTTGAGTGGGCTAACCCTCCCCCACTGAAAAAGAGGGGTTCAGCAGCACCCCTCCCCCACAGTTCCTCTGCCTCACCAATTATCTAATCTCTATTCATCTCACTGCTCTGCTGGCCTGCCCTGTTGGTTTCTGCATTCATGTACTTGAATAATACTGTGGGTCTTGGCGGGAAGGCACTCCCCACAAAGATGTGGCCTGCTAAGTCTCAGCAAGCTACTAAATATGCAATTCTTTTGCAATCCAGATAGCAGCTCAAAGCTGTCGGACCTGTTCTCCAGCTCCTGCAGCCCTCTTTGAGCACTCCCTGAGCCACAGATGCAATTCCAGGTGCTTCATCCTCCTGGGGACTCAAGGCATAACCTTTCAGAGGATCATGCTGGAATTCAGTGTGTGCACAACTGCTCCCTGTCTTTCAAGAATAGGAATTGTGGGCCCTGCGTAATAGCGTAATGGTTAAGGTCCTCGCCTTGAATGTACCAGGATCCCATATGGGCACCAGTTCTAATCCCAGCTGCTCTACTTCCCATCCAGCTCCCTGCTTGTGGCCTGGGAAAGCAGTCGAGGATGGCCAAAAGTCTTGGGACCCTGCGCCCACGTGGGAAACCTGGAAGGAAGTTTCTGGCTCCTGGCTTCGGATCGGCACAGCACCAGCTGTTACGGCTACTTGGGGAGTGAATCATCGAATAGAAGATCTTCCTCTCTGTCTCTCCTCCTCTCTGTACATCTGCCTTTCCAATAAAATAAATAAATCTTAAAAAAAAAAAAAAAAAAGGAATAGGAATTGTGTCCTGGACAGCCTGTGTTACAGAAGGAGCATTAGATCCTGGTCTAGGGGTACAGGTCCCAGCTGACCTCTGCCCCAGCCAGACATGTGGCTGTGTGGACTTGCTGTGAAGCCAATGAACATGAACACCTAAGTCTCCCATTTGTTGGGATCCCTTTCTAGGTCCATTTTTAATCTTTTTTTCTTTTTTTTCCTAAATAGGCCTCAAAACTTCAAAATCCTCTCCTGCACCTCTCTCAACCTCAGTGTCTCATCCCACGCTAAATCCTATCCCCTCAGGCTGGTGGGTGAATGGCCTGGGGAAGAAGCGGGCAAATTGCTAAGCACTAACATAAATAGTAATGTAGTGGGGCCGGCATTGCAGCACAGCTAGTTAAGTCATTACCTAAGCTATTGACACCCCATGTGGACACTAATCTGTGTCCTGGCTGCCCCACTTCCAATTCAGCTTCCTGCCAATGCACCTGGGAGCACAGCAGAAGATAGCCCAAGTCTTGGGACCTCTGCCAGCCAGATGAAGCTCCTGGCTGCTGGCTTTGACCTGGCCCATCTCTGGCTTTTTGGCACATCTGGTGAGTGAACCAGCAGATGGAAAATATCTCCCTCTTAACTCTGGCTTTCAAAGTAATTAATTAATTAATTAATTAATTAATTAAAATAACAACAGTATCACATGTCCTAATTTGAGTTATAACCAAACACCATCTTTGCATTTCCACCAAGCAGAAGGTATGGTCACTAAAAATAGCATCTTCCACTTTCTACCCTTCTCTTAGTTCTCACAACATCCCATATGCCAAGTTCTACCAACAGCCCTGCTGTACCTCTGAGTATTGAGGCTGGCAGAGAGAGACAGTTTCCTGGTGGTTACCTCGAAAGGATGGATGACAGCCACCAAAGCAGCAGCTCAAAGCTGGCTGACCCCAAGGTACAAACACCGAAGAACAGTGCCCTGCCTTCTCCCACTGCCTGTCTTTTCTCACACAGGAAAAACCTTCATTCAGGGTTTTATAACCAGGGTTGGAAATAAAAGGGAAGGAAACCTTTGTTTTATTTTCATTCTCTCTCTCTTAATGTCTGGAGGTAACAGGAAGGGAAAAATTAATCCCTGTTTCAATGAGGCATTGGCCCAAGAGTAAAGCCCAAGGCCAATTGCCTTGTGGCCACTGGCAGACTCTGGTACGGCCTGTGAGATGAGATGAAAGATGGGGCCTCATTATCACTGTGTTAGTGACACTATTTTGGAAACCCCAGAGGAGGGCTCCCAACCCCTGGCCCTATCAAGATAGCAATGATCTGCTCTTATAAGATAATCAAAATAAGATTAGCCAGAGGGACCCTTATCAAAAACAGTCAGAGCTTGCTCCAACAGTGACCCTCTTAGGTGACCCTCTCTCCACCTCCCAGGCCACCCTATGGAATTCCTGGCCTCTGCACCCCAATTCAGCCTCATCCCCCTTCCCTAGTATAGCTAACCCTTGAGCCTCACTTCACATTTTACATACTGGAAGCTGAGAGATAATCTCATTGGGGAGCTCTCCTCCTGAGTACAAATTTCCTGTTACTGACATTTTCAAGAGATACTTGTGAAATAGGAGGTCCAATGGTGGCCCGGAGACTAGCTGAGCTCGGCATACACGTGCCCTTGCTTTCTGTCTTTGAGTATCTCCTCTAGCACTCCACCCCATGACACATTTCTCTAACAATAAAACAAGTTTGAGAGACTGTAAAGGGAACTCATAGGAAAGCCTCAGAAACACGCAAAGGGCAGGACACAGAAGGCTCCAACAGGAAGCCTGACAAACAGCCAGGATGAGGACCGAGTTTCCCACTTGGAGTGGGCTGCTGGTGTTGCGTTGTGTCTCCACAGGAGTCTCAGGAGCTGAGAGAGGACTTGGAGGGCCAGCTTTATCACCAATGAGGAGAAGGTGTGCAGCCATCAACCTCACACTGCTGGGCTCCATTGTCAAGACGCCTCCAGCCTCCACTCAGCCACCATCAGAACAACTCCTTCCTTATCAATTGAGCAGACACTTGCTTTTTCTTAACCTCCACCTGCAGCTACCCTTTCCTGTAAAACTCTTTTTGCTGGCTTGTTAGGAGGGCAGGAACACAATCTGAATTTACAGATCTCTCTTTCCTTCACAAGTGCCAGCTTCTTGAAATAAACCCTTTCCTCTTGCCAACTCTGATGAATTGGCTACCCAACGGCCAGTAGCCCTAACACACTAACACACGTATTCAAGCCATTCACCAGAGAGGGACCAGAGAACAGGAGAAAGAGCAGGAACTCTCAAGGAGGGCTAGACTAGGCTAAAACCCTGAAACAGTAGAGCCCAAGCAAGACAACTAATGTCTCCAAGCCTTGGTTTTCATCACTGTTTTCATCATGTGCCTACCACCATGTGGGGAAACATTTCCAAGGGAAGAGAATTGGGGTGATGTTAGCACGAGAACCCGAACAGAGTCCCTTCCCACTGGTGGCAAGGACATTACAGCAGTGCCAGTTCAAGCCCTGGGTATCAGGCAGCTTCCACTGTTCCCCAACCCTACCTATGCCATCCCAGGTGAACCCTCTGTCTCCCAGGGAGTCAGTGACTGAGTCTCACAAAGCAGCCCCATCCCCAAACCTGCCTCAGGTGAGAAAGGACACCCTCATCCCACTTCATGGAGGAGAAAGGAAGAGCTGCTACCTGGGCCTCCAGCTGAAACCCAGGGCACCCCAGAGGGAGCCTAATGCTGTGGGAGATTTCTTCCATGGGAGAGTCCCTTGGCTCTGCCCGTGGGGATCCAAGCTCCATCTCCAAGCCTCCTCCTATCTAGCCAGGCCCAATTTCACTCCCCAGCTCTTGACATTCCACTTGCACTCTTGTGTTAAACCAAACCCTGGAAAGCAGCTGTTACTCCCCCAGAATCCCCACCTGATACCACAGGCCAATCTTTGCATCAGAAACCCACTTCCCATCAAAGTGTTGGCCTTCTAACTGCCCCCAAAGATAGGCTGGGATGTGGCCGAAGAATGCACTATCATCCCAGGGTGATCCAAGGCAGGCCTTTTTTCAAGGCACTAGCTGCCCTTCTGTGCCCCAAATTCCAGAATGCAGAATGAGCTTTGCAGCCACTGTATCTCACCCCAGGCATGATGATCCGCTCAATGTCCTCGAAGATGTTGTCCCAGCTGTCAGGCTCCTCAGGGGCGCACTCAGGAAGCTGGGCTCGCAGAAAGCCTGGCTGCACGTCTGGGATCACCCGCCTCTCCCGCACGGTGCTCAGATAGTGGTAGATGTAATCCACCATCTCTCTCCCTGCAGGGCAGAGAATTCAGGCTCAAGTTCCCCACCTGGGCTGGCCCAGTCTGCACCTGTCCCTCTTGTGTCAAGGCCAAGAGCTTCAGTGAACAAGGACACGGGCTTGCTGGCCACGGCAAGGATGTGATGGCCTCCATGATTTTTATCTTCAGCATAATACAACACAACAGAAAGAGTGAGGAAGTAAACTCGAGTCGTAGGGAATGTGTGAGCCAGCAAGGGAACAAGAGGGAAAATCTCCAAGGCAAATTATTTTTTTCCCCTGCCACATAAAAGCATTAATCTTGTTGGTTTCACCTGCTTCTCTTTTCTTCTCAGGAACAGAAAGATTATTCAGTACCTTACAGTTTTTGCTAGAAACTGTAGTTTTCTTTGTACCTAATGATTAATACATACACCCCATATTCCTGATAAGCATAGAAGGCAAGTGTCCATACCCAGCTCTGAGAAACAGTGAGAAATTTATTTTTCATACTTGCTATTAGATCAGTAAACCCTAACCTTTCTCTGAATTGCTGGGCATCTTTGTTGAGAATGTGATTAAAACTGTAAATTACACACATACATACATACATACACACAATTTTGTGCATAATTTCCAAGGTTCAGGAATCCCTAAAGCATAGCCATGACTGGCACAGGAACCCCTGCACCTAAGGGAGATGTGGAAACTTGTCCCAGAGATGTCATCTGCTCCCCACTGCCTCCATCAACACCTTCATGCGTAAAACATGGTAACGATGGCTCCAGAAAGGGGTAACAGGTGCATGAGCCCATGAATGAGGAAGAAAAAATCTCCATGTCAAATACTCTGAAAGTACTGCAAATTATTTTCTCTTTCTTCCCTCTATTTCCATATGATCTCTTGTTCTCTCAGGTTCTCATTGTTTCTTCCCCTTCGTGTGTGTGTCTGCCTATCTAATTCAATATCCGTAACCCTTCTTTCCTTCCTTAGTGTTGTTCCTTAGGCTCCTTTATCTCCCTGAAAAAAAAAAAAAGCTAGAAAAGAAACCCGATTTCCTCCCTCCACATCCGCTCATGCACAGTTCTTAGAAACAAAACCAGCTCTGGATAAAACTGGGGAGAGAGCTTTCTGCCCCCTGCTGTGCAGCCTCCCACAACCCAGCACCCCTTCCTCCTGCTGTCAGGGACAGGACTATCTGTGTGTGCACCACTCACAGGAACATGCTGTCAGCAAAGAAAGTGGAAAGCAAAGAATCAGCCAATGCATGCGAACATGGGAAGGTCCACAGCCACTTGGCCGTGTCTCAGTGGGAGAGACAGGGGGAAAAGCTGGATTTTAACCTTGGACAATTCCTTACCACACAGGCATTTCAGTCAAGGCGGCCTCATGGTGAAGAAGAAGAAGAAGGATCAAAACAGTTATTAAGACACGATTCTCTTTTACGCTACTAACTACTTGGCCTCTGAATGAGTTTTCACTCATTACACAGGCCAGGGGTGAGGCTTTCCTACTTGTTTATGGGATGGATGACTCCATGAGCAAATGCTACTTCCAGATTAGCCGAGAAATGGATGCTAAGAAAAGACAATTTTTGCAATGACCACAGAATACTTAGGGAGAGATTAATCAATTCCAGCATATGAATCTGTCCCATTGAGTGAGTCAAGAATCCAGATCTTCTCTTTTGTGGGGAGGGAAGCAGGACAAGTCACAGGAGTGTGGGGTATTTCTGAGAGCAGGTAGAGGAAAGAGAGAACAAAAGAGAAGCTGAAAGAAATTTTAAGCTCCGAACTCACCTGCCTTTCTTAGAAAAATGCCATACAGACCAACGGTAAGGTTTCAGACAAAGACACCCCATTATCTCAGAGCCCCCCATGAGCAGCTAGCTATGTCTATCAGAAGGGCAGTGGGAAGACAACAGAGATGTCCCTTGCTCACCTCTCTCTCTGTACTCCTCGGGCCCCATCATCTCCTGAAGCACTCTGATCTCTTCTCGCAGACGCAGACGGGTCTGACCTCTTCTTACAAAACTGGTTAATGGTAGTAGAGCAGTCCTGCTGCCACTGGCTGGCCTTGGCACTCCTCGATGGGGCCCCTTATTTAAAGGGCCCTCCTTTCTTGGACCTTAGCTCCACCCTTTGAAGTCCCCTCCTCCAGACTTAATTAACTCCACCCCTTCTCTTTCCCGGCCCTTGTTGGAAACATTAACCAACAAGCCTCTGTTGGTCAAGAGAGCCAGGATAAAATTAACAGTGCACTTAGCAACCCGAGGCAGCAGGCAGCCTCCAGGTAAGAGGGTAAAGGAGCCCTTGGTTCTTTCTGCACCTGGAATCTGACCATGGGGAGTAGCCCAGAGCAAGGCCAAGGGTATGCAGAAAGTAGTCCAAATTGTTAGCATGATTCCTGGCAGTGTTCCATTACCACTGACAGAAACGGAGAACAGATATTATCACTGAACACAACAAATTTTTTTTTCTTTTAATTTTTATTAGCACGCTATAGGGATGAGAAGACACAACTAACCAAGGAAGGAAGAATTGAGAAAAACATTGCCCACAAAGAATTACCCTTGGCACTGAAAGGGGCACTCCGGGGTGTGTAAGGATGGGAGACGGAGAAGCTGCTGCAGGAAGTGGAACACTACTCTGGGAACTGGAATTCTGAGCAACATGAGATCCAGCACTTTCACAGTGCCACATACACTAAAGCATGCGCATGTGTACCTGTGCGTGTGCCCGTGTGTGTCCATATGTGTCTCTGTGTGCCTGTGCGTGTGTGTGCTTCCTGTCTTCCCAGCAGCCTCCTCTTACCGCCTCATCTGTGAGGCACCCAGGGTCTCTGGGCTTCCAACTGCCAGGTCTCCCTCCTCCCCCGTGGCTTCTTGTCACTTCTCTCCAGCCCTTAAATGGTGGCCTGCTCCAGGGGCGACTCCCCTTTCTTCTTTCTCCCAGGGTGGCCTTACCCATGTCTATGGCATTAAGCGTTAACCATGTGACATTCAAATTTATATAAATCCTATTTCACATTCATACCCTAGGGCACTCCACAATCTTATCTTCAGTATCCTATCTGTGGTAGCTCTTGGCCTCTACCAACTTAGTATGTTGCAATACTGCATTTTAATCTTTCCCGTAAAGCCTACTTCCCTTCTAGTTGTCCCCATCTTAACTCATCCCCTCCCACAACACAGACCCATGCTCTTCCTTCCCCTGTCCACTGTCACTGTCTAATCTAAGCTCTTCAAGCAGTTCTACTTCTAAAATATATCTCATCTGTCAGGTTCTCCCAACCTGCACATCAATGAACCTATTCTGACTCAAACTACCATGGCTATTTGCCTAGACTAATGCCTGAAACTTATAACTGGCCTTCCCACAACTCCTGGCCAACTTCAATCTATTCTTCACAAAATGAGTGAACTTCAAAAAAAGAAAGAAAGAAAGAAAGAAAGAAAGAAAGAAAGAAAGAAAGAAAGAAAGAAAGAAAGAAAGAAAGAAAGAAAGAAAGAAAGAAAAAATACAAATCAGATCATAACATTGACTGATCAAATTTTTTCTAATATTGAAAACGCTAGGGACCAGCACAATGGCTCTAATGGGTAATCCTCCACCTCCAAGTGCCAGAATCTCCTGTGGGAGCCAGTTTGTGTCCCAGCTGCATCATTTTCCATCCAGCTCTCTGCTGGTGGCATAGGAAGGCAGTGGAGGATGGCTCCAGATACAGAAAAAAAAATAATAATAATGTGGAAACAATGGTCTTACCCACTTTCCTGTAGCCCTTGACCATTTGTACCCTAATCAACTATGTAAAGATTATCAAAATAATTACAAAAAAAGGGGGGGGGGACAAAACAAAACAAAAAAAGAATCTCCTATGGGAGCCAATTTGTGTCCCAGCTGAACCATTTCCCATCCAGCTCCCTGCTTGTATCCTGGGAAAGCAGTCGAGGACGGCCTAAAACCTTGGGACTCTGCACCCATGTGGGAGACCCAGGAAAAGTTCTGGCTCCTGACTTTGGATAGCTCAGCTCCGGCCATTGCTACCATTTGGGGAGTGAATCATCGAATGAAAGATCTTTCTCTCTGTCTCTCCTTCTCTGTAAATTTGCTTGTCCAATAACAATAAATAAATCTTCAAAAGAGAGAGAGAGATAAAAAGCTGAGAAAATTCAGTAAGGTAGTATGGTACAAAATTACAATAACAACTAATTGGAAAATAACATTTTATTTATTTAATTTTAAAGATTTTCTTTTATTTATTTTTATCTGTAAGGCAGATTTATAGAGAAAGAGAGAGATCACCCTTCTGATGGCTTGCTTCCTCAATGACTGCCACAGGTTGGCCACAGCTGGGCCAATCTGAAGCCAGGAGCCAGGAGCTTACTCCAGGTCTCCCACATGGGTACAGAGGTTCAAGGACCTCTGTTCCCAGACCACAAGCAGGGAGCTAGATCAAAGTGGAGCAGCCAGGACATAAACCAGTGCTCCTATGGGATATTGGTGCTATAATGTAGAGGATTAGTTTGCAATGCCATGGTTTTGGTCCCAGAAGATACCATTTTTTAAAAGACCGATAGGGGTAGACATTTAACCTCCTGTTTAAGATGCCGATTAGGGGACCTGTAACCTGTAGCAGAGAACCTCATTTTATTCCTGGTTTCAGCTTCTGACTCCAGCTTCCTGCTAGCACGAACCATGGAAGGCAGTGGTGATGGCATAAGTATTTGAGTTCCTGCCATCCAAGTCGGGGAATTAGGGTAAATTTCTAGCTCATAGCTTTGGGTTGGTCCAATTCTGACCATAGTTGGCATTTGGGAATAAACCAAAGGATGGGAGCTCCTTGTTTTTCTTTCAAATAAATATACAAAAATTAATTAATTCTAATCACAGTAACAGATGGGGAAAATGTGCAAAAAATATAACAAATTTGAAATATTGGGCCCGGCGCAACGGCGCAACGGCGCAACGGTTAAGGTCCTTGCCTTGCACGCCCAGGATCCCATATGGGCTCGGGTTCTTATCCCGGCGGCCCCACTTCCCATCCAGCTCCCTGCCTGTGGCCCAGGAAAGCAGTCGAGGACGGCTCAAAGCCTTGGGACCCTGGACCCTCGCGGGAGACCTGGAAGAGGCTCCTGGCTTCGGATTGGCTCAGCTCCAGCCATTGCAGCCGCCTGGGGAGTGAATCATCAGACAGAAGATCTTCCTCTCTGTCTCTCCTCTCTGTATATCTGCCTTTCCAATAAAAATAAAATAAATCTTTTTTTAAAAAAAAGAAATTTGAAATATTTATACAAAGGCAACCAAAACCACTGCTCATCAAAATGTAACTGAGGGTCCAGTGTGGTGGTCTAGCGGTTAAGGTCCTCATCGTGAATGTGCTAGGACCCCATATGGGTGCCAGTTCTCGTCCCGGCAGCCCTGTTTCCCATCCAGCTCCCTGCTTGTGGCCTGGGAAAACCACAGTTGAGGATGGCATAAAGCCTTGGGACCCTGCACCTGCGAGGAGGCTCCTAGCTCCTGGCTTCGGATTGGCTCAGCTTTGGCCATTGTGGTTACTTGGGGAGTGAATCATCGGACAGATCTTCCTCTCTTTCTTCCTCTCTGTATATCTGACTTTGCAATAAAAATTAATAAATCTTTATGAAAGTGTAAATGAATGGCAAAATGGTAAGCACCTGGCTTAGCAGTTCAGAAACTATTGAGGGGTTGGCATTTGTGGCACAGTGAGTTAAGCTGCCATCTTAAATGCTGGTAAGTCGTATAAGTACTTATTAGCATTTCAGACATTTCATTTCTGATGCAGCTCCTTGCTGGGGCACCTGGAAAAGCAGAAGATTCCCCTGCCACTCAAGTTCCAAGTCCATGGCTTGGGCTGGCTCAAACCTGACCATTGTGCCATTTAAAGAGTGAACTAACAGATGGAAGCTCTTCCTACCCTCTCCTACAACTCTGCTTTTCAAATAAATCCATCTGCAAATAAATTTGTGCAGAAGGAAGGGAGGAAACAGAGAGTGAAACAGGAAAGGGAAGGGAAGGGAAGGGAAGGGAAGGGAAGGGAAGGGAAGGGAAGGGAAGGGAAGGGAAGGGAAGGGAAGGAAAGGGAAGGGAAGGGAAGGGAAGAGAAGAACCAACTGGGATACCTGGTTCAAGTCTTGTCTTGGCTTCCAACTCGTTTCCTGATAATTTGCACCCTTGGAGGGAACAGATGATGGGTCAAGTACTTAGATGCCTTCCACCCACAAAGCAGACCTGGATGGAACTCCTAGCTCCCTGCTTCAGTCCGGCCCATTTCCAACTGTTGCAGATATTTGCGGAGTGAGTAAACAAACAAATGAGAAATTTTTCTTTGTCTCTCTGCCTCTCAAACAAATAAAATACATGAATAAAGTCTTTAATGGCAAATGTATTCATGAAAAGGCATTCAATATCATTAAACAAAAGGGATCATGTAAATTAAAACCATAATGACATAATCATTATTCATCTATTAAAATGACTAAAATTTTAAAATGATAACATCAAATGATGTCAAGGACGTGGAGAAATTAGATCTCTCATATATCACTGGTACTCTAAAATGATAAAGCCACTTTGGAAAATAGCTTATCAGTTTCTCAGATGACTAAATATGCACTCACCATACAAGCTAGCAAGTATGTTCTTGAGCATTTATCCCACAATGATGAAGTCATAGATTTAATATTTTTGAACTGGTAAGAAAATCAAAAGATAAATGACACATTGGGGAAAAATATTCACCTCTGATAGTAAAAAGAGATACTCTCTCCGGGCCGGTGCCATGGCCTAGTAGCTAGGGCCCTGCCTTGATCGCGCCAGGATCCCATATAGGCACCGGTTCTAACCTGGAGGCCCTACTTCCCATCCAGCTCCCTGCTTGTGGCCTGGGAAAGCAGTCCAGGATGGCCCAAAGCTTTGAGACTGCACACATGTGGAAGACCCAGAAGAGGCTCCTGGCTTCGGATTGGTACATCCCCAGCTGTTGCGCTCACTTGGGGAATGAATCATTGGACAGAGGATCTTCCTCTCTGTCT